CATGGTACCTGCGACTTGTGGTACTGGCGACTTCTGCATGGAAGGGGACCGTTGGGATTCTTCCCCCCTTTCCAACATGACACGTTGGAGATGTTTTCAGCCAAATCTATCGTCTGTTGTGAGAAGAACCATTCCGGGGTGAAGCGAACCATTTTCGTGTTGGAATGCCCTCTTTGGGTCTGATCGGGGGGGTTGCTCCTTCTTCATCCGAGTGCCGTTGAGTGCACGACGCGGTACGACCCAACTAGCACGTTCTCGACGCTCATATTGCCTCCAACAAACGGACACAGAGACAAGGGTTTGCAGACTACGACTGTGCGGCAATTGCTCGCACAAACCATCATCGTGCGGGTGGTGGCTATCGGGTTCGAATTCGTGCAAATGCCGTCGCGACCACCTCAATGAAAACCACCATGTCCCCCGACACGACCGACTCCATGGTGTGACCCCATTGGTATGACCTGTTTTCAAGCACAGAGCTAAGAAACCAATCACACACTGGAGAGGTTGCGGGGACCATGAAACCACCTCTGCTGTGCCAGCCAGAGATCCACTCGTCGGCTGCTGTCCCATTGCCTGTCGCCAGTACACCGCTTCACGCCCGTCGCGGCCAGCCCCCCCCCCGCCATCATGCATTCCACTTTGCTCGATACATCGATCACCTCTGCTAGCCCAGCGCATGACCGATATGCTCAAGTGTTCTTGAGGAAGCGCTGCAGGAGCTGTGGCGAACCCACCGCGTCTCGAATTCGGCACACGGTGCGCCCATCCTAAGCGCCCCACTTTTCCTAGAGTCGTAAATGTGACGCACCGACCAAACACTGCCAACAACGCAACTCGATCAACGTCGATAAAGTGCCACCAACGGTCCACCGTGGCGTTCCCTTGCAATGGAGGTTGCACATGGCCTCGATCGTGCCATAACATCTCGCATCATGACCGAGTGGTCTTGCCACTGCATCGTGGAGTGATCGATGTGCACAGTGCTGTAGCAGACTAGCGCGACTTTTCTTCACGGCGGCTTGTCGTTGAAACATTCGCATCCGTTGCAGATTCGTTTCGTCAGCTTTCACTCGAATTTGGACGAAAGGACGTCCGATGCGATCGCCTCGAAACGGATCGTGCATGGAGTGTAACTTTAGCCTTGACCTCTCCATTTTGCCTTCGTGCCATGCTGCACGGAGCGACACCGACAACGTATGTTCCGACGCCGGCGGATGTGTGGGGCCTAGGCATTGCCATCGTCGGGGGCGGCCAGTACTACGGCTGGAACGTTGGACTGGCGGCCGGGACGGTGAGTTTCGGCCTTGGTGTTGTCGTCATGGGCACTGCGTACGTGTGCCTTGTCCTGTCGTTGGCAGAGATCGCCAGCGCGCTTCCGTTTGCGGGCGGGGTCTATGGTTTGGCTCGATGCACGTTGGGCTTTTATCTGGGCTTTCTCATGGGCTGCTGCGAAATCCTCGAGTACACGATGTACGCCACGTGTGGCGCTGTGTCCGTGGCGCGCATGGTGGCGGCGCATGGGGCTTGGTTGATGCCCTTCGAGCCGTTGATGTGGGCTGTCACGTATGCAGCACTGGTGGCGCTGCTTCGAGTGGGTGGCCGCCACTTTTGGCGATGTAATGTCGTGCTCACAATGACGTCACTCGTCGTGATATTCCTCTACCTCATGAGCGGCGTCAGCTATGCAAATTTGCCTGTCCACAGTGGCGGCGCCGACTACATGGTGGTCGGTGGCGCGGTGCAATTTCTTCGGTCCCTGCCCCACGCCGCGTGGTTCTACAGTGGCATCGAAGCCGTAAATACATTTGCCAACGACGTTCCCGATCCGAAGCGCATCATTCCACTCGGGCAACTGACCAGCCTCTTCACGCTCTTGGCGACATCCGCCAGTGTTTACTTGACCTGCATCAGCTTTCCCCCAGGAGTTGCCTCGTTGCCCCGAGCCGTACTTGCCTTGAACGGTGGCTTTTCAACATCGTTCAACGTGACGGAGCCAACCGCGATGCTGATATCGCTGCCTGCGACCATCGCGACCATGCCTGGCCTCATCTTGGCGGCAAGCAACATTCTGGCCGCCCTTGCGCGGTCCAAGCTCATCCCTCCACTGCTAGCGCATCGCCATCCCACGTACAAAACTCCATGCCATGCCATCTACGTGACCGTGCTGGTCAGCTTTGCCCCGTGCTTTTTCAGCCACTTCGTGGACGGGTTTGAGTCGACGATGTACCACGTCGGGATGGCGTTTGGCTTTGTGTCGTACATTGCTCAGTGCGTGAGCTACATCTACCTGAAGCGACGGCACCAACTCTTGAAGCGACAGTTCCTGAGCCCGGTGGGAGTGCCTGGCGCCATCTTTGCCATCGGGGTGTTTGGCATGTCGATGGTGTCGATTTTGTTTTGTCAAAACGATAGCCTGCCCTGCCTTGGGCTGTGCGCCGCCATCGTCGTTGTCAAGTCACTGTACTATCACTGGATTGCAAGACATCGCCAAATGTTTTCGACGGAAGAGCGCGCGCTGCTCTTTTTTGCCCACTTGGCCAAACAAAAGCACGAAGCAAAACGACCGGTCCAGAGATGGCACTACCGCCTCAAAGCTACGCAATGGGGCCCGCAGTGGCGAGGCACATTCTCGTCCAAGGTGCAATCCATCGTTCCAACCCACCACGACCCCCGTTTGAACAACCGCATCACGCCGCTTCCCACTCTGCCATGACAAGAATTGGCATGGTTCCACGGTGGATCCGATGGACGGGCGCCGTCGACGACAATCCCCAAGAAGAGGTCAATGAACGATAGGCGCAGGGTCTCTAGCTAGAACGAATCGACGACGTAGGGCTGTTGGCTTATCGAACCAACGATTTGGTCCCATGTCAGAACAAACCCCATCTCAACGCCTGCCTGGCTTCGGTGTGGTGGGGAGACGGCATGCCCATGCGAGGGCAGCAGCTTTGGGAAGGTACCCATCGCTCGTCGTTGTCGTAATCTGCTGGGGCTCCATCCCATCTACCGTCGTGTTCGAGAGGAAGCACCGTGGAATTTAGCCTCCAAACTCGGAAAGGAACCGACCATGTATTATGCCAACACTCGATATCCGAGTACGTCATGGCGATGAAGGTGTTGCTAGGGCCGAGTGATCGACAGGGCTGCCTTCGCAAGTATAATCGAGCGGGCCGCTATCATCCGAGTGTCCCCGTGTCATGGTGGCGCGCATTTGTCGGATTCGGCAAGCCCAGCCAACAGCGACGGTGACAAGAACTCCGGAAACAGCAGCAGTCACAGCGACCGACTCGTTGGACCAAGAAGAGACGGTCGCGGCTCGCGGTCCATCGAGGGGTGAGCTTGTGGCCGATGGAAGAACAGGCCCGACAGGGAATGTGATGATTTCATTTTCAGGGGAATTGGTGGTGTCGTTGAAGGGGGGGATGCTGGCATGGACAAGGGGGGGCGTCATGTTCCAGACTCGAACGGTGTGGTTCACCGCGCACAGCCACAGATTTGCAGTGGTGACGTTGCCTGGACCGCACATGCAGCTCCAGACCGTTCGACAACACTCTCACGCAATGGCATGCCGACAATCAGTGTAGACCAATGTCCTCGACGGCTTTTACGGGGGTCGGAGTCGGCAGCCTCTACGCTGAAGAAGGCCGAGTCGCAAGGAAAGTAAAGCTTGCGCTCCTCCATATGCCAGTGCATTCATAAGTTCAGAGAGCAATTGAGGAGGCTCGAAGCGGGGTTTCCGCGCCACCGTCGGTGCATGGTGGGATGTTACGCGTAGTTTGAGTCGCAGAGTCATCGTTGCCCTCCGTCGATACGTATTAAAGGTGCACTGTCGGCAAGGCAAAGCGAAACTGAGAGTTTTTGAGTGGAATGAGCGCCAGCAAGACGGCGTGTTCGTAGTACGATTGCCGCGTGATGCGGTCGTCTGTGAGCAGCCCGACTGTGCCGGTTTGATGCTTCGAGTTGGTCCGCCCAAACTCTTGATCGTCTGCATGGCCAAGTTCCAAGCCACCCACAACGAGCTTGACGACTCCTTCGGGAAGGTAGAACGATCCTGTTCGACTCATGCCTTGCGTGCCGTCCGCGGCCTCCACCACAATCCACGCAAACACTTCCATCACGTGCGGATCGTGTCCGTCGCCAACAATCGTTTGCTCGACGCCGCCTTCGATGCCGACCCAAAAGTCTGCGTCTGGAACGCGCTCGCGCGCTGCGTGCAGTCGGTTCGTCGCGCCGACCAACGTCTCCCGACTCGTCATGGGTTGCGTCGACACGCCAGATGGGACGTTCACGCCAGTGACGGCAAACTTATGGCCTGGATACGACTTTTCAAATCCATCTCGCGCGGCGCCCACCTTGACTGGGTTCTTGGACGCCACAACGACGTGATGGCTCGTGCCGCGTGCCGCCGCCATACTGTTGTTGGCCAACTGCATCCGATAAATGAACGCTTCAACATAGTAAATGAGAAATCGTAGAATAAATGAAAATGCCAGCAACAGTCACGGCGGATGCCACGAGCAAGTGGAGGGCAGCGACTGAGGGCGAGTCGCCCAGCAGGCACAGCGTCAAATGCTGCGCTAAACAGGACATGCCATTCCCTCTGGGCATCGCCCCTGAGCGTACCGAATACTAGTTGTTGTTTGTACGAACCAGTTGACTTGCATGTTAAGTGGTTGCATCCTGTACAGTTGTACACCTCCATTGCGCCGTCGCATGCGCTGCCCGTCTTGCGTCGGCGCACTCGGATCGCCATCGACGGTGGGAAGGGCCAGCAGTCCCCTTGACGAGTGTGGCCTCGGCTACCAAGTGCTACTTGATCACGATGGGCGTATTGCGCAAAATCTTAATGTTGAACGGGAGGCTCTTGACGTCGGCGAGGGTGTCGTCAAAGAGGTGGATGTGGCCGGTGCTGTCTTGGCCAACGATGTGCTTGACTTCTTTCGATTCAAGCGCAATCGAGTCGGTGGCGGTGGTGGTGTGCAAGTTTTGTTTTCTCTTCGCCAAGTCCTTTTCGGGCAAACCAAAGCACAGCATGTGGTGCATAAAGTACCACTGAAGCGTGCTGAGGCGACGCGCGTGGCACGTAACGATCGCGTCGTCCTTCACAAAGTCGACGTCGTCGACCAAGTCGCACAGGACGCACGTCGAATTGAAGATCGCTTGCCGGGACAAGCTGTTGGCCTTGAGCGGCCGCCACACGAGGCCCGACAGGAGGAGGTGGTCCACCGTAAGGACCATGAACACGTTCAGGACGAGCCCGACCAAGATGGCCAGCACGACGCGGATGTAAAAGCCCTCGAAAAAGTCGACGAATTGGCCGTCCAGGACCTCAAAGCGATGGTGAATATCCCATCGGCTCTGATTGTTGTACTCGATGTAGTCGGGGATGAAAAAGAGCAAAATCGTCGTCAAGTACATCATCGTGACGCTGCTAAAGTTGAAAAACGGCATCACGCGGCTCTGCCCCGAGTACGTTGCCGGCGCCACGAGGTTCATGGCGACCTTGCACAGCTTGAGGAATGCGATGTTGAGCCACAACACCCGCGTGCTCAACGCAAACAACTGGAGCGTCATCCCGATGTGGTTGCTGTGGCGATTGAATACACTCACTTCTCTCGTAAAGACCACGGCATGCTTCGTGTCCAGGATGATGCTGAGCGCGTACAGCACGACAAAGTGATCGCTGTTGTAGCAAAAGATATCGAAGCGAATCGCATGGCTCAGGTGGGGAAAGTACCGCGGCGCAAAGATCTGAACAATCTTGGTCCACACCGTTTCGACTTTGTCCGGGGTCACCTCCGCCCACTGGACCGTCTTGCGGCTCGCGAGGTAGCCCCCGATGACGAGTAATAGCGCCAGGGCCTTGAGCACGACCGAGATGGAGCTGTAAATGTCGCGGCTAAACATGAGCCCCACGTCGTGCGACGAATGGAGCACGAAGTCGCTCGTCACGTTCAACAAGTTGGAGTGTGGGTCAAACTCCATCGTGAAGTTGCATTTCCCACGGCCAAGCTCAGCAATCGGCGGACACCCCGTGCAGTAGCTCTTGGTGTACAACCGATAAAATTTGACCAGACTCGACTGCGGCGTCGACGTGTTGTGCACGCGAAACGCCGTCGTGAGCTTCACGTCCGCTTGGATGCGAGCGGCGACAAACCCGAGGGCCTCCAGGTCCGACGACGTGGAGGCTGGATCGGGCAAGTTCTTGGTCAAGTCTTCTGTGATGAAATGCGTCAGCGAGTTTCCCCGAAGGTACGTGATCCCATCCGTGGCCGTGCCGAGGTTGACGGGCTCGGCCACGTCGGCGACCGTGTATGTGCCGGAGAAAGACGAACACAAGTTCATCGCTGGTCCCGTGATTTCGTACGTCCCGCCAGAGATCACATAAACACTCGGGTCGATCTCGACGAGTTTCTGAATAGCGTAGTCGGTCATCCAGTGGCCGATGTTGGACAGCTTCGAGATGTTCATGCCATGGGCAAAATTGTACGCCGCGGCGACGTCGTAGATCGATTTGGAGCGCGCCAGCGGCGTGCGGAACTGCAAGCCGTTGCCACAAAAGTCGTTGATGGACCAGTTGTTGACAATTGAGTCAAACCCAACGAGCACGCACACGACGCACCCAACGGCGGCCCCGACCGTCGGGCTCAAGCGGCGATATGCTTTGGACAATGCCCGGGTCGTCTGGACAGGCACGAAGTCACCAATGTTTATCGAGGCGAGCTGAGCGTCCGAGATCAGGTCGGCTCGTGGCTGGAACATCGATGAAGTCGAGTGATTCGCAAGTGCGAACAGTTCCTCAGCCGATGGCGCTATGAGAGAGCACGTAATCTATTTTGATCGCGACCGTTGGCATTCCAAGAATCCAGACGATGGCCCATAACGTTTCGCTTTGGCATTCATACCGCGCCATGCTCTGTGGCAACGATCGGTTTGGCACGATTCTGTCGTGCTGGTGTAGCCCAAAGCCACATCGACTGGGAGGAATGCCCTGAGGAAGACTGAATGGGGGGCGGATTTGCATTTACACACACACAACTCGAACGATTACACTCGTCTCTGCTGCTTTCAATGGCTAGTCCGTGGCGTCATCGAACGTGCCTTGAGAAAGCAAGGGGCATCCGTTCTCTTGGCAAGGAAAAGGGGGCTATATTCGCTGGTCAGCGCGACATTACACTGCATGTCGTTGAAAACAAATTGCGCGCTTGTGCTCACCATGCAAAGCACACCGATTCGTCGGGGTCAGGACAACAAGCCGCCCACGCGGACGGTGGCACAGCGAGACTCGGACCGTTGCGTGAGCAGCGATGGGGCGATGGCGGGAAACCTCGTCGGGACCGTTGGCCGCCGATTCACCACCGCCTGACGCTGCAGGAACAGGCGCAGCTGCGACCGCACGCGACTCCATCGCGATCTGGGCGACGCTTTGTTTTTCGCTTCTGCGTGGACACTCGTCGCCGACTCGATGCGACCAAAAAACAAGAGCATGTGTTCGTCCGTCGAGAACGTTTGGTGGTGCTTCGCGTATCCGTGGTAGTACGCCGTGAGGACGGCCACAAGGCCAGTCGTCGCGATCAACGCATCGAACGAGTCTTCTTGGCAGCACAGCGTTGAGATGCAGCCGAGCGAGAAGACCACGACCGAGTACGTGGCCCCTGCCATCCCCACTGGACTGATGTACCCACGAGGGACACGATTATGCCGCCGTCGCCACGCGATGAACCCAAGGCCCTGCGCAATGTACGCCACAAATCCTAGCGCTCTCGCGAGGTTGTATAGCACGGTGCAGTGACCGCTCTGTAGAGCCCAGCTCGTTGCGATGTTGAGGCCGGACACGAGCACGATCGCTCTCATCGGAGTCTTGTTCGGCGCAGACCGATGGATGACGATGGTCGAGACGAGGTTCGACCTGGCCAAGGCGGCTAAAATGTTGCTGGTTGCGAGGGAAAAACCTGGGAGGCCGGCCACAATGGCGGGGATCGAAAGCAAGTTGGAGTTGACTTCCGTCACGTTGAAGCTCACACTGAAACCCCCGCTAAGCACTGCAAAAGCACCAGGCAGGGCCGCCGCTCCTGGGGGAAAGCTGATGGCGGCCAGATAAATGCAGCAGCTCGACAGAAGGAGCGTTGCCATGCTGGCAAGTTGACCCTTTGGAATGGCCTTGCACGGGTCCTCGACATATGCTGGTAGTGTCGCCAGCGATTCGATCCCGCTAAAGAGCCACACCGCATGCGGCAACGCTTGAAAAAATGCCGCCAGCCCTTCTTGGGAGGGAACCTCGCCCCCCCCACCGTATGTGGCCATATCAGCATTCGACATAGCGCAAAGGGCATAGAAGAACACGACGACCAGCGAAAGCGTGGACAGACCAAACAGTGTGCGCCAAAATGGCCGACCCCCCAGTCGAACTCCCAGAAGCACGATCGCTTGAAGCGCCACCCAAGGCACGGGCTCGTACCCCACCACACATGGCCACCGTAGCGAGACAAGTTGCGTCGTCAAGACCAGCGTCATCCCGGAATAGATGACATACTGCACCATTTCGCAGCACCCGACGACAAAGGCCACGTAAAACCCGAGCGTGCAGCGCGCCATGCCAAAGACGCCGCCAGCAAACGGCAGCGCACTCGCGATTTCTGCGAGCGACATGACCAAAAACAGGAACGCCAGGGCGGTCAAGAGCACGCCGTAACCAAATCTGACTGGCCCTGCAACAAGCCCGGCATTCCACGCAAAGTACTGGCCGCAAATCACGGTGGCAATGCCAAGTGCCCACACGTCCGCACTGGAAGCGACGTACGCGCGCCTTGTCTGCTGCGTCGCGGCGTTGACAGCAGCCATGTTGCTGTCGCTCTTCTGAACGATTCAAGATCTATTCGCAGATTTCCGTTTCAAATCGATCGCATGCCGTCACGAATTCAACCATGACAGAGAGTGAGTGGCCAATGCAACGGTTGGATACGTCGCCGATGGAGGATAACTGGATGGAAGCCAGGCCGAAGCAAGTGCCCTTCGAATCATGTTGGCGCCTCTTCACCTGACTCAATGATACATCCAAAGGCATGCCATATTCACACCACATACGACCTATCTCGAATTTGCACGTTGTGCAGTGCTCGAAGGGCGAGCCTAGTCATCGACGTATGGTCATCAACGAGGTGCACCCAAGCGCATCCGCTGTCGCTATAGTCCACCGTGCGGCAGACGCCGTTGCCAATGTGCGGCATGGCTCTGAGGGGTACCTCGAGGCCGACTCCAGAAGTAGCGATGCTCTGGCGCAGGTGCAAATTTGGATTGCTTACGTATGAATGAACCTTGATGAAATTCGTCTTGAATTTCGGGAATAATGCGTCATATTGCTGAAGTTACTACAAGCGTGCACCATGACGGCAAGGAGGATTGTGCGGCTCGTTCACCATGGCGGCGGATCCGTTTATCCGCGCGTACTTCTCGCCGTCGATATCAGGCATGATCGGAGAGTTTCGAGATAGGTATCACTCGGACATGCATAGGATGCTGAAGCTGCAGTACCTACAACGTCTCCCACGGAACGTTTATTCCCACGAAGAATATGCTGCTAACGTCGCGGTGCTGGACGCGTGGTTGCTCGAGAACGGCTTGACGCGGCTGAATCGGCTCTTGGACTGCATTGAAGACGCGCATGGCATTGTGCTGCTGTACGCCGCATACTCCGGTCGCATGGACGTCGTCGAGTGTGCCTTTGGATGTGTCGTAGTGACTCCGGCCATGATGCTGCTGTTAATCGATGTGGCGGCATGGCGCAACCATCGGCATGTCCTTGAATTTTTCAAAGACCATCCACATCCCGATGGGTGGACGTGCTCTGTACGACACAGGCGATGGACAGGGCGGCGACGAATGGCCACTTCGACGTTGTGCGGTGGTTGCATGGTCATGGTTTTGAAGCGGCACTGCCTGTCATAGAGGGTGCCGCCACGAACGGCCACTTGGATGTTGTCCAGTGGCTGCACAAGCACCTCAAGAACGGCTGTACGATTCAGCTCGATGGATAGAGCAGCCATGAATGGCCACCTCCGAGTGGGGCAGTGGCTGAATCGGTATTGCACGGAAGGCTGCTCGAAGGCGGCCATGGACAACGCGGCGGCAAATGGGGGACTTGACCATGGTCGAATTCCTTCACCAAAACCGAACCGAAGGCTGCACGGCGATGGCATTGGATGCTGGGCTGTATCTGGACATTGGACAATGCTGCGGTACTTGCACGCCCGCCGGGGTAAACGAAGTGCGGACACAGCGTTTTACGGCCAAATTTAGGTCAACAAGTGGCTCAAGGAGACCCAAAAGTTTGTCATGTCAAGCGATTCACTCATCGATGCTGCACACCGTGGGAATCTGACTGCACTTACTTGACTCATTGTGATGGGTCGATTCCGGGTGCCGAGCTCGTGGTCGGCGCTGCGAGATGCGGAAGGCTGGCGATGATTCAACATTTGGTTTCGCTGGGTTGTTTGTGATTGGGCAATGCTCTCGATAGCGCGGTGACGTGTGTGGTTACTTGACTGTCGTGCAAAAATTTCACCAGAGGGTTCAATGGTGTTCAAGTGCCGGCAGCTGCACGGGGTCATCTAGAAATCCTGCGATGTCTAAACAGACACCAGAGCACCCGAAGTTCCGACCTGGCGCTAGAGATGGCAGCAAGGAATGGCCACGGCACCATCGTTTATTTTCTGCACAATGAACTGCCACCGAACAAGTAAGAGCAAGAATCCAATGCATTAGGCAAAGCCGCCAGAATGGGCACGTGCACGTGGTGAAGTGGCTGCATGGCAAGAGGGGAGAGGATCTGACTGCGGCGTTGATTTGGGTGATTCAAATCCGCGACAAAACCAACCGCGAAGTGGTTCCTGGCCAACGAGCTAAGTGGATGAAGGGCCGACAGGCCCAAGACACCATGTACCAGAGCAATATATATAATGGCACCACACCTCGCCAAGCCTCCACCGACAACTCCACATGACTTCACGCGCCACTTGATTGAAAGGCGTCTACAAGGAGGTGCACAGGATGCAGCCAGTCCGTTGCAAATGGGATTTGAAATGATTTGGAACTCGAGCATGTACGAGTTGGCACGGTCCATCACAGGCGATGCCACGTCATTCATTCACAATTTGCGACAGCATCAAACGGTATGCTAAAGTAAGTCATGAATGTTTTCACAATTCATCCTGGCACTCCGTAACCACACAACACAACGAATATTCAATTTCAGAGTTTATATGATGGTCATCATACCTATTTAACCTTATACCCTGCCAACGTATAACAAAATGCAGTCGAACGCAAGGTCAAATCCATGCGCAACTTCAAAATTCTAATTGCAAGCTCATGGCTCCTTCGATTTAATCCTGTCTTGCCTTCGTCAAAGCCGTGCGTCATCGCACATTAGGGACGTTTAGCAAGTCTGAAATCTAAGTAGTTCATAGACTTTCTTCTACCTTCCGTTTTGTTGAAGTCTGAAGTCCGAAGTCTGGCGAATTCACGTTTAGGAAGTCTGCAGTGAGTCAAATGTTTAGGTTAGCCAATGGAATGCTCGACAAAGTTCAAAATGCATCCTGAGCATCAATTGATCTATCGTAGCCGAGTACCTCTGCGACTAAAGATTTTATCCACGTTGATTCTCCAAATCCACGCTTGCCCTCGTCAACTACCTACGGATCCCACCTCGTATTGTCACACCAGAGCGAACTGCATGCACGAGCGTCGAGGCTCTCTGCATTCTCTTGCGCCGTTTTGAAGTTCCTGATCCCTGGTCAGATCTCATTACGGTGTTCGGTCGTTCCAGAAGTGGCCTCTGCAATTTCTTCTTGCACATACAGTACTGGACCACATTTACTCCAACTTCGCCGAAATCGTATATCTCGACCGCGACCGCATTTGTACCAAATTGATGGAGTT